TAGAGCAGTGGAAGGCAGAAAGAGAGTAGATGCAGAGGTTTAAATACCTTCCAGAAGTTGTATTAGGTTACTTTGGGCCTGTGTTCTTTTCCTGTCTGACAGGAAGGTCAGGGGGCCATGTGGAAAATTCCTGCAAGGTTTGGTCTTGGGATTTTCCTAACTTCCTCTTACAATAATTTTACAGGAGAAATCCTACATAAGTTGAGCACTTCATGCTCGGATACAACTACGATCTTTCAGCAAGGTTTGCTGAAGAGGATACTGGGCTAAATTGACCTTTAGGGGAAAAAAAACGTTGAAGAGAAAATAAGCGTTCTTCGTCAAGTAAGACGACGAGGACCTTTTCCGCCTTTGGTTTTATGTCAACCCTTTACATTTTAAAGGCAGAGCTGCACTCAGGGCCGTTGAGCATGCTACCCTTTTGGAGTGCTTGGCTGATACAGGAGGATGATACAGGATCTTTCTGGTGACATTAGAAGACCTGGTTGGAGTCACCTGAATGATAGGCCAATAGTTTGACACTCAAGGGCATTTCTTTCCAAATCTGACAGTGGAAGATCAACTGTGGTCCCTCAATCAACTCAGCTTTGGTGGGGAGTTGGAAAATGGCTACAACTTCCTGCTGTTGTCCTGAGAGGGGAGCACTCGTAGCTTACTTGGAGCTATCCAAGGTACTGTTTTGTTTTTTTTTACTGCCCTCTTCACCAAAGGACCTGAATTGAGTTAACTTCCCATCTCTGTTGCTCTCCAGCAACAGCCAAGGTCTTGACTTTCCCAACAAAATGCAGGCAGTCCTGAAATGGGAAAAATGTTGGTGAAAGCTTACCTGGCTGTTTGGTTTCCTACCCTTTTAAATAGCATTGCATGAAACCACGAAGGAAAACCATGCAGAATTTGGGCATTAATGACGCCCAGCGTTCATTGGTGCCAAAGAAAGTTCTAAAGAGCTAGAATCAATGGGGAATTAGATATGAGTGAACCATCTAGGATTCTATACCAAGAAGGAGGTGGTCTCGGTCAGACGTCGGGTCAAACTGCAAATTAGAATGCAATCAACTTTGGGTGGCGTTCCATTCCTTGGAAGTCTTAGTTTGTAGATTAAAAAGGGTTTCACTTATTCCTGGGAGAATAATTTTAATTGTAAGCCACTCAGAGTCACTTTTCAGAGTGAGACGGCGGCATATAAATTTAATCAATCAATAAAACGAAGGATGCCTACGGGCAGGAGTGTGACCAGTGGGTCAGTGTGCTTCTCCCTGGGAAAGAAGAATTTGGTCTGGGTGACCCATGCTTTGGTTGTCCGTCATTTAGATTCCTAAAATGTTGCATGGGGAAGTGCCCTTTAAAAAGTGTGCAGAACCCACTGTTTGGAGTTCTTACTTGTTTCTGCAATGAACTAACAGAACGTAAAAGAAAAATACTGCAGTTAAAAATATAAAATAAATGCAGGGACAGAAACAAAAGCATGTATTTAAAAAGGAATTAAAAAAATCATTTCCCCCCCTAAACCAGAAAGGAGCCACGTACTGTTTGTGAGTGCTTAAGAGCTATTTTAAAGATCCATCTTAAATATTTGTTACCAAGTGTGACATTTGTACAGAGAAAAGTAATCTATTAGGGGGAAAGAAACCCACACTGTTAATATAGTTAATAAATTGTGCTTCCAATAAATTTATCTCTCGTTCTGGATTTTTCCTCCAAAGCTTTTTGTTACTAGGTTAATGGTTGAGTCAGAACACTTTCTCACCGTTTTACAATGCCTTGATTCAATTAAAGATACATTCTAGTAGTAACTGCAGCTAATGCAAAACTTTGATGCCGAGATGCTTTTCTGGCAGGTGATTCTGACCATATACAGTGGGCCTGAATCGTCCACATTAATCTTCAATTCGGTTCTTGAAACCTACATTATTTATCTTATTGCTGTGGATACATTAATAGATGAACCATTTTTACTATTAGACACTCGCCCTTCCAGAAGCAAAGGGGAGGAAAGAGATATCAAAGAGAGATTCACCTGTCCTCTGTCCCCCTCAGAATGGTACTCCTGCTTGGAAAAAGGGGGCATCGCTTTACACATAGTCCTCGACTTACAATTGTTTATTTAGTGACCATTCAAAGTTACAACGGCACTGACAAAAGTGAAACCCGACTGTTTTTCACACTTAAGACTGTTGCAGCATCCCCAGGGTCACGTGATCAAAATTCAGACCCTTGGCAACCAGCTCATGTGACGGTCGCATTGTCCCGGGGTCTCACGTGATCCCCTTATGTCCAGCAAGGGAAGCCAGAGTCACTTAACAACCATGTTACTCGCTTAACAGGCTGCAGTGATTCGCTTAATAAATGTGGCAAGAAAGGTCGTAAAATGAGGCAAAATTCACTTAACAAGCATCTTGCTTATCGATCGATGATGATGATGATGTTGGAAGGGACCTTGGAGGTCTTCTATCTAGCCCAACCCCCTGCTCCATGGAAATGTTAGGCTCAATCGTGGTCATAACTTAAGGACTACGTGTACAAGGGTTTGGTCTTCGAATCAGAGTGCTATTAGTCTTGCAACCCTGTTCATCTTAGCATGTCTCCTGGGCTTGGTGCAAAAAGATGCACCTGTCTTTCCTGAGCAGGAATTATCCAGATAGAAAAGGCCCGTGTACATCGGTTGCTCCAGGCCGTTGGTCACTTTGCAAGAGATAAAAACAATGCAAGTTTTCCCTTGACCAGACCTTTCAACACACCGCTTTCTCCAACTTATGTGGATCTCATTCAGAAGTGTAAAAAGACTTCGAAGAAATTGCTGGATAATTTTGCTGAGTAAGTATTGACCCGGGGACTTCAATCGTGGGCACGGGATACATTCGATCCACACTGGCTTGATTTTGCACTGCCTTATCAATAGTTCCTACTCTCTGTTGTCTGTTTTTTTTTTATTACTAGCTGTACCCGGCCACGCGTTGCTGTGGCTCAGTCTGGTAAAAGCGTGTGTTGCTTTTACCTCCAACAGATGGCGCTGTTTTTCAAAAAAAGCATGTTTTTACCTGTCACAGGTGTGACATCTATATAATAGTAGGTATATAAAAACACGTGCGTATTCGAATGCAACGTTGTGTCAAAATTTCAAAGCAATCGGTGACGAACTTTCGGAGATTTAAGATTTTGAACAAACGAACATTTACATTTTTATTTATATAGATTATTCCTAAGCTAATGCATGCACATGTTGCGATACTGCAGCTCCTTTGGGACTTGCAAAAGAGCAGGCACGATCCAATTCAAATGAAACCAAACCAGTTTATTACAGCCATATGCTCTTCTGTATTCGCCCCGGTGAAATTTCAAAACGGGGGAAGAAAAAAAAATCTAGATCCAGTGATCTGTGCATGTCGCGTTCTGGAGGAACAGTAAACTTGAACAAAAAAAACCCTCCAGACAGCCAGGTACTTTGGTCACTCTTGGCAACTGCCCTTCATTTTTGAATAATGTCTAACAGATGTCTAATGCAATACTCCGAGCTGAGTGTCCTCCAGAGAAAGCTGTTAATGTCACTCTTTCTGGCTTGCCCTGGAACAAATGATTTGCAGAATGCTGATTCTTCCAAATGTGGAGGATGATGCGTTTGTATCGTTGCTGCTCTAAAAGGAAAATCCATTGGGAGAAAATTAGTACCGTTGGGTAAAAAAAAATAATGTTTGGTTCCTCTCTCTACATTTCCAGTATATCACATGACGAGTTTTGCTTTCTAGTTTTGAACACAAGTGTGGCGCAGAACTGGTGGTGTTACAAGAAAAGAGAGAAAAAACGGACAGGAAATTCAGAAGGTTTGTTTTTCAACTATTTTTTTTTTTTAATAAATATTCAGGCTCCTTTAAAATTGAAAACCCCTTTTAAAAATCGTCATGTCCTTCAAAACGTATGACATCTGGTAGTTATTTATCAACTAAAGTCAGTCACTTTTTTTAAAAAAATGCAAAGATATTCCAGAGAAAAACGTAGGAAAACTTTAAGATACCTTTAGAAGTGTACTGAACAAAAAATCTCCGAAGTGGGGACTTGAGAACTGCACATTCTTTCCTTCTTCATAATCCCCAATACATTTATTTGTCCAAGGGCCATTGATTTAGACCAGGCCTTCTCAAAGTGTGGTCTGGGGACCTCTGGGTATCCCCACGGCCCTTTTAGGGGGTCCGCAAACTCAAACATCTATTTTGACATTTTTCAGCTTGAATTTCTATAAGACTACATAGCAGTAGTTATCAACCGCAGAAAATCAAAGCTCGGGGGGGGGGGGTCCTCAGTCATTTTTAAGGATGTAAAGGGGTCCTGAATCCAAAATGTTTGAGAACCGCTGATTTAGACTATTGTTATAAACAAATAATTTCTCTGCCAAAGCACTTCAGATGGTTTGTGATTTAAAACAAAGGCTAAACATTTATCTATATGTTTAATATTAACTTACTAAGATTACAGTTTTATGGTTCCTGGGACCAATGTCGGGGCCAAGTCTCTCGTCTTTTCACAGGCTGAGAGACCACGAGTGGCAGGGCCACATAAGAGATTTTGGGGGGCAGGAGTTGCTCATGTCAGCTGTCCCAGCTGGGTCAGGGGGTTTCCTTTCTCTCTCAGAAACAGCCAGTGAAATGGCAGTCAAGCAGATACAGAATGCACTAACTACTCTAAGCCAGTGGGTTCTTGACCTTAGCAACTTTTAAGAAGTGTGAAATTCAACTCCCAGAATTTTGGCTCGACATCTTAAAATTGCTAAGGTTGAGAAAAAACATTGCCTTAACCCAGTGGTTCTCAACCTTTTTAATGCCGCGACCCCAACCGGTCGTAAGTCGAGGACTAAACCGGTCGTAAGTCAAGGACTAAACCGGTCGTAAGTTGAGGACTACCCAACTGGTTGTAAGTCGAGGACTTTCCCTGCCCGGGAGCACCGCGCATATGTGGTTCCGCCCCCTGCGCCGGCCGAGGCGTAGCTGGCAAGCGGCAGAGACGGAGCAGGCCGACCACCAGCTGGCCCAGCCCAAGGGAGGTAAGGCACCCGCCGGAAAAGGGGAAAAAAATGGCGGACAAAAAAAATGGCGGACAGCCTTGCTTGGCGACCCCCGTGAAATGGTCGATCGACCCCAAATGGGGTCCCAACCCACAGGTTGAGAACCACTGCCTTAACCTATTCCTTTTTCAAAAATGTATTTTTTTTTTTAAAAAATGGATATAATCCTAAATGGATGCTTTACTTCGGATGATGGTGAATCCATTTTTCCCCCTCACTACATCAAATATTGTTTATGAGTGACAGGCTACTTTTATTTGATATTAAGCCTTTAAAGAAATACTGTGTACAAAGATAGACATGTATCTGGGACACAGTGAACGTGGTGAAAAGACCATGTGTTTGCAACCCTTTGCCCAGCCTGCTAGAAATTTAATGAAATGTCACTTTGGCTTGTCCATATTGGGACAAATGTGGTATAATCTGCACAAGGCCAGGAGTAAAAAAAAAACAAAAACACGGAGGGAGTTTCTTGCAACTAACTGTGCTCTGTATTTTTTTGCCTAGGATGCTAGAAACCATCACCACAAAGCCTACTGAGAAAAGGGTAAAAATAGAACGGTTTCTCCTCCAAAGGGTAATTCAGTTTTTATATCACTATCTTCTGTGGTTCGATACACTTTGCGGTCTACTTAAGAAACGGAGAATGTGCTGGAATGCACACACAGTCTTTATTCATGTTAAATTGGCAAAAGCAAATCCATTTAGTTTTGTATAATGTTAATTGCATATTCAAGTAGGTTTAGATCCTTATTCAATAACAGATCACGGAATGAAGTTGAACAGAAGCCTCTGTTTATCTTGTAAAAAGGAAAACCCATGGAGGGGCCCCACAGAAGTCTTGATCTGCTTATAAAGGACACAGCACTGTTGTTTGAATAGAATAGAATTGAACAGAATTGAATAGAGCTGAAGGGACCTTGGAGGTGTTCTAGTCCAGCCCCCTGCTCAAGCAGGAGAACCTATGCCGTCTCAAACAGGTGAATGTCCAGTCTCTTCTCAAAAATCTCCAGTGATGGAGCGTCCACGATTTCTGGAGGCAAGCTGTTTCACTGGTTGATTGTCCTCACTGTCAGGAAGTTCCTCCTTAATTCCAGGTTGCTTCTCTCTTTGATCAGTTTCCAACCATTTTTTCTCATCCTTCCCTCTGGTGCTCTGGTGAACAACCTGGCCCCCTCTGCCTTGTGGCAGCCCCTCAGATACTGGAATACTGCTATCATGTCTCCCCTGTTTCTTCTTTTCTTTAGACTAGCCAAACCCAAGGCCCGCAGCTGTTCTTCACATGTTTTAGTCTCCAGGCCCCTGATCATCTTAGTTGCTCTTCTCTGAAATTTTCCCAAACTCTCAACATCTTTTTTTGTGATATGGTGACCAAAATTGGCTGCGGTATTCCAGGTGTGGTTTGACACATGATTGTAGTAAGACTGAGAGACATAAAAAGGCCTTCTCACCTTTTCATTCCCTCAGTAACAGATATAAGCTTCTACACGCCCCATTGACTGCCTGGCAGCAAATTCTCAAGAATCCTGCAAGAAACACACAAAGCCCATACCCAGAAATAGACAGGATTATCGGTCTGCCAAATTATTTCCTCCTTTGTGTTTGTAATTACCAGCATAATATAAAGTTTTGACTCAAGGAGATTAAATATGGTGGCAAAAGGCTTCTTCCTTGGGTTAGAAACCCGTTAGTCCCAAAATACCTCTGTAGGGATGTTGCGGGAGGAATGCCTTCCTCTTCCTCATCCCACTCCCCAGAAAATTTGAGATAGTACTGCAAAGTAAAATGAGATGTGGCAGAAACATCTTGCTTCTTCTCACTCCAGGATCTAGCTGGCTTTTATTCCCCTTTTAAGAAAAACTAACATCTGTAGATGGGACATTGGGTACTGAGTTAAAATGTTGCGTGTATTCCATTGCGTTGAAGGTTCCCTGCAAATTCTGAATAACGGAATAAAAGAGTTGGAAGGGAGCTTGGAAGTCTTCTAGTTCAACCTCCTACTTAAGCAGGAGATTCTATACCAAGGGTAGGCAACCTTGGCTCTTTTATGACTGCTGGCTCAGGAATTCTGGGAGTTGAAGTCCACGAGTCATAAAAGAGTCAAGGTTGCCTACCGCTGTTCTATACCGTTTCAGACAAATAGCTGTTCAGTCTCTTCTTAAAAACCTCCAGTGATGGAGCATCCACAACTTCTGGAGGCAAAGACATTTCACTGATTGTCAGGAAATTTCTCCTTATGTCTAGGTTGGCCCTCTCCTTGTTTAGTTTCCATTCATTGCTTCTTGTTCTGCCTTCAGGTGCTTTGGAGAATAGGTTGACACCCCCACACCCTTTCTTCCTTGTGGCAATCCCTCAAATATTGGAACATTGCTATCATGGCATCCCTAGTCCTTCTTTTCATTAAACTAGACATATCTAATTCCTGTAACCATTCTTTACATATTTTAGCTTCCAATCCCTTATTATCTTTGTATGATTCGGGCGGAGGGATGGTGATGAGGGGAAAGGGAAGTGGTTGCAGCATCGCAACATGCAAAATCCCACCCAAATGTCGCAGTGACTCATTCATGGTGTTTCCTTTGAATAGGCAAATGCCAAGATACACCATCATGGGTCTTGCGGATCAGAATCAGGAGCCAAAGATGTCTGACCTCAAGATACGTGCTGTGAACTTTGATGGATTTTTTCCGTCCGCCAAAATTAAGCACACTAAACTTTTGGTATGAAATAAGCTTCTGACTTTCGAATCAATAAAGAATGAGACAGAGTCATTTATTTTTCTCTTCTTCCCCTTTAATTCCAATCTGGTTCATTTCAATATTTTTAACGAATATATTTTGGCAAATCGTGTTTTATATTGTCAGGTCCAGACAGAAATCAACATTTTGGATGATTATGTTGGAAGCATATTTTAAGAAAGAGAAAAATACATTAGAAAGATTAATAGCGCTTTTGAGAGAGAGAGAGACAGAGAGAGAGAGAGAGAAAGAGAAAGAAAGAAAGAAAGAAAGAAAGAAAGAAAGAAAGAAAGAAAGAAAGGAAGGAAGGAAGGAAGGAAGGAAGGAAGGAAGGAAGGAAGGAAGAAAGAAAAAGAAAAGAGAAAAAAAGTTTGGAAACCCATCCTAATAATAGCTATTGCTATTGTTCGTTATAATGTAATAAAAAACAGCCAAATGAATTGTTTACTGTGGCATGCAAAGTCCTCCAAAAATGTGGCTGTCCTTCAGGCTTCAAGAAAAATTATAGCTCCTCCACCAGGATTGGTAGCAAAGAGGTTGTTTTCTTCCAGGGCTAACCTTTGGCCACGATTTCTGTAATAAGCCTCCTTCACATTTGCTAGGAATCTCTCCAGTTTGTCCACAGGGACCATCGACACAGTGCAGCCACCCCATCCTGCCCCAGTCAGGCGTGACCCAACTGCTCCAAACCGCCTAGGAGAACAAAAAAAACAAAAAAACCCCAAGTAAACAGATTGGAAAGTCATAAATTAAGGGAGAACGTGTTGTGCATGCAGTTGAGTCTACTGGTAAATGCTGGACCTAAGCGGGTTAGATTTATTCTAGTTTTCAAAAGAAAACAGGCAACCACGATAGGCAGCTAAAAGCCAGGTGAGTGGAAGATTGCAATCCAGTTCTGAACAGCTGGCATGTTGAGCTGCCTGGTGTAATCTAATCTGAACTATGGATTTACTAGGAACTTCATAGCTCAAGGCCATCCGTGTCTGCCAGTCTTGATGTCTACATCATATCACCGAGTAACGCTAGCTAATAGAAGACTGAATAGTAGGATCACATTTTGCCTGTGCTCCGAAGTGGTTTCCTGGAGGTATGCGGTTGCTATTGTGGACAGTCCACATTAGATTCGCCCTTACTCTAATCTCTCAACCCTCTTCGGATATTTTATGCACCTACCTGTCCACCAGACAAGGCAGCACTCAGAATTGGTTTTTTAGTTTCCTCCCTAATGGAAATGGCGACAGTGGCTGTTGATGTGCTTTCTTACTAAGTGAGTGGATCAGCCCCACCATAATAGCTCTTCAGGTAGAGAAAATTTACGTGCAACAATTTGCTTGTAGTTTAAAAGTTGCAACAGCCCCATTTTGCCATATTTTTAGATGGTTCCTAAAATGTAGCTGCGGACCAGTTGCTTACATAGACACACCTCTGTATCGATGGGCAGATCTGCAGTGAGTTCCTCGTGTGTCATTTTAATGCTTTGGTTTCTGATTAGCCTTTTCCGATTCATTTGCCTTTGGCTAGATTCTACAACGTGACCTTATGGAGCAGCGGTAAGATAAATCGGCATTCACTAGTAAAGTCCTTTCGTTTCAGAGACCCTCAAATTCTGCAGTACCACAATAGCCTAAAAAAGATAATCGACTTTATGTGGGGCGTTTACTGTAAGCGTTGAACAAGCAAAGGTTGGGCCCTTCCAGAACTTGCCCTGTTCTACTCTAAGAGAAGGCAACTACTGGCTTGTCCAGGAAAAGCGAGAGCAGGCACACCCAGCAATCCAGCTTTGGGGTGTGCGAACCCTGCCCCATCTGTTGTTGTTAGCTGCCCATCGCCACCCCATGGACAACGTTCCTCCAGGCCTTCCTGTCCTCTCCCATCTTCTGGAGTCCATTTAAGCTCAGGCCTACTGCTTCCGTGACTCCACCCAGCCACCTCATTCTCTGTCGTCCCCGTCTTCTCTTGCCCTCAATCTTTCCCAGCATTTGGCTCTTCTCCAGTGAGTCCTTCCTTCTCATTAGGTGCCCCATCTAGGTATAACCGTAAAGCATCTAGATAACACAGATTTTTCTTTGTATCTTCAAAGCTTGTAAGAAAGCTTTTCTGATAATCCGAGACGCAGAAGCAACGCACCTGCATACTCTTTTGGAAACGTTCTTGAAGCCTAAACACAGCAACTGGCAATGATTACAGATTTTTTTTTTTAAAAAAAAACCCCATTTCTGTATGAAATTGCTGCTTATTATTGTTACTATATTAGGTAAGTTTTATTTCTGGATCAGAAACAGACAACAACAAGCTAGGAGAGGAGGGGACTTTTCAATTATCAGTGAAACGTGCCAAAATAAAGTTACGTTTTTAAAAACAAACAACCGCTGTCTACGTTCAGAATAGAGTGACAGACAAGCAGGCGGCTTGGATGCAGCGTGGTTCCTGTCATAAATCTCCTCAGCCAGGTTTCAGCGGGAAGCTCAGAAGAATTAAACTCTGAGGCATTTTAGGCACATGTTGAATTTTGCCTGTCACGGTTTTCCTTATAAAGGCCAAAACTGAAATCGCTCTTCTTCTTCGAATGAAAACTTTAACCCCATATTTTCATCTTGGTGTTTCACTTAGTGGCTGTATTGCTTCATTTTTTTTCATCTTGGAGCTAACCTAAAAGCTGCAAATCATTTCGGGATTTCCCCTCCACAAAGGACCCATGGGGGGGGGCTTCCTGTATGGAATGATTTCTGGCGAAAACAGGAATTGCCAGCCAGACCAACTGGATGGCTTCTGTATCTCAAAAGCATAGAAGGAATCAGAGAGTCATCTTGAGAAGGGAAAACCAAAACTTCTTCTCTCTTCCCTGAGGATTATGGAGGCAAGTCCACAAAGGGGAGAAGCTAAGAGGAGAGGGCTGAACCAAAAAGGAAGCTCGTGGGAAAAACGTAGCCTTCCTACCATGCTCCTGTAACAATTCCTGATCTTGGCCAAATGGCCTTTGGTCTCCACAAAAGCTCCTCAGATATTGGGCAAGACAGAGAAAAGAAGGCAGGTAACATGCAAATGTGATTTCCAGAACTTTCTGTTGTTCTCTCTAGAGACTTGGGTTAACATGTGAAAGCACCTGTGAAAAAATAGTTCCCCAAAAAGAACAGCCGCTCTGTGTCTTGAGCCCCATTGCAATAAGCAATGATATGGGTCCTCACCATAGCAAACTCTGCCCCAGTTTCTGTCTGCCTGCCTGCCTGCCTGTCTCTGTCTGTCTATATCTATCTATCTATCTATCTATCTATCTATCTATCTATCTATCTATCTATCTATCTATCTATCTATCTATCTATCTATCTATCTATCTATCTATCTATCTATCTATCTATCATCTATCTATCTCTATATCTATCTACATCTATCTACATCTCTATATCTGTCTGTGTCTCTATCTATCTATCTATCTATCTATCTATCTATCTATCTATCTATCTATGTCTGTCTGTCTGTCTGTCTATCTATATCTATCTACATCTATCTATATCTCTATATCTGTCTGTCTCTGTCTCTGTCTATCTATCTATCTATCTATCTATCTATCTATCTATCTATCTATCTATCTATCTATCTATCTATCTATCTATCTATCTATCTATCTATCTATCTCTGTCTGTCTATATCTATATCTATATCCATCTCTATATTTATCTGTCTGTCTGTCTGTATCTATCTATCTCATCTTGCTGAAGGTGACTCTATGCAGCTTACAGACATTTTTATGAAGCTCAGGAAATCGGGAGTCCGGGCAGTTCAAATGAATATAGATATATTCTATGCTAAATCTCTTTACAAGAATCTGACCTATTTAACGGTCAGAGTAAATTGATGGTAGATAAGAGTCAACAGAATTCAAGGGGGAGCTGGACTTAAACCTCTGAAGGGACTGGAGACTGATGACAAGTTTGACCCCTCCCTTGGGCTCAGCCTGGTTATCTCCTACAATTTTGTAGTACATTTGGCTTGAGAATCCTAAAGTATGTGATTTTTTTTTCTTAACATAGGATATCCATGAAATTGGTTGTATGGACCTACTTGCCCAAAGTAGCCAGAGGGTATAGCACACCAGAGGATATAGCACACCATAAAGGCCCATGGTTAAGTCTTTCTCATTTTGATCCAACGTTTCTATCATAATGGCTCTGCAAAGACATTCATCTGTGGCTTGAAAGCCTAAGCTACCATTTTTCCTGTCCTGTTTAATTGGAATGGCTGGGGCAAAAGCTATAGGTCCTATGTCATAGGAACTGCTTGGCGACTTGCTTTGAGTCCATAAATGGTCTGAAATGGGAGAGCTTGAAGCTCTGTGATGCTCTTATCGTGGAGATGCTGAAATAATGACCTCCCCCACCAGCTTTGCCAGCACGTCAAGCTTGGAACCTGGGGGGGGGGTCCTCCTACTTTTACAGCATCTCCTAAAAAGAGGTAATAACCGTCACTCAGCTACTTAGCTCACCAAAACCACCGGTGTTTCCTGCCAAGCATTTACGGCATGACAGCCCCACTGCAACCATGCTGAAATCATTTAGATTCTTTCGAGGCGGCCTGAGTCAGCATCAACCTATTAGCGCAAACAGTTGTTATCAACTGCCTTAAACACAGTTAAATAGGAAACACTGGGAGGCTTTGCTGTCGGAATCAGCTGGACTGCAGATGCTGTTGGGTCTGTTGTTTTTTTCTTTATGAATGAAAACTAGTCGCCAGGTTTTCTTTCTTTCTTTCTTTCTTTCTTTCTTTCTTTCTTTCTTTCTTTCTTTCTTTCTTTCTTTCTTTCTTTCTTTCTTTAGTTTTAAATTAGTTTAAAAAATTACTAACGGCGTAACGCCGTCATGTTTTCACTGCAATCCAACCCAAACAGCATTTCCTTTCCCCGGCTGTGCAAACTTACAGACAGATGTCCACCAGCTGATTTAGTTCAGGGCAGCTGCATTCGTACAAGTCTCGGCAGCTGGCATGGCTCCCATTCATTAAATCTCCCAGCAAGGAGATGGCATCATCAGGTGCCTCCATGCAGATTTTCTGAAATTCCAAAACTCTGGCGGCTTCTGCATACACATGCTTGGCACGCTGGTATAACTTAAAGGTGGTCACTGTGGAAAACAAAAGGGGGGGGGGAAATTGCAGGAAATAACGGAAACGTGAGATGATTTATTACCGTCAGATATAGCCGTGCAGCTTCAAATCTCACTGGTAAGGAAAAAAATGAGCTTTATTTCTCTTCTCTTTGCTCATCTTAGGGTATAAAACTTGGGTAGTTTGTCACAACCCTGGACTACAGGGACGGCTTCAGTGTGTGTGGAACCTCACTATGAGTAACTGTTGGATGTGGATGGACTGATTTGCACAGCCAAAGGCAAACTGGAGCAGCCCAACAAAAAGGAATGGCAGAAGACTCATCCACAGGTAGGCTGAAGAAAGAGATGTCTCAGTAAGTAGATTCAAGATTTAGGTCAGGGGTCTTCAAACTTGGCCCTCAGCATGCCTGGCTGAGGAATTCTGGGAGTTGAAGTCCACAAGTCATAAAAGGGCCAAGTTTGAAGACCCCTGATTTAGGTGTTTCAAACAGGATATCTGAACTGGGAACACTCAAGCCATTGGAGATCTTTTGACAAATATTACTGGCCAAGACTAATGGATTTCTTTCTTTCTCTTGCTCCTTGGCATATGGGCATATGCAATTCTGGGAATGATCATCAATGTGTATGCCAGGCACAAGGAACCTGAACGACACCGTAAGCTGATCAGAGTTGCTTCTTTATTGCTACCCGCCTATTTACAAGAATCTCACCAGACGGACTACATTCTCTTGGGAATAGTCAGATAAAGGTTTCAGGAATTCTTGGGATGTATATGTCTGGCCTCTGTCGTTTCCTTCCCTGCAAGCTCACCTGTCTTTTGACTCCTCACTCTAGCTGGAGATTCTACCACAATGTAGGAAGAACCAAACACGAAAAAAAGCCAATCTGCTTGTCCCAGGGTAATGTTGCAGGATCCAATCTAGGCCGGTCACTGGAACCAAAGGTTTAGTCTTCCGAGCTTTTGGACTCCTGCGGGAGCCCATCCTCAGGGAATTTAAACATGAGCCAGCCATGTGCTGCAGCTGCCAAAAAGGCCAACCCAGTGCTAGGCTGCATTAACAGAGGGATAGAATCAAGATCACATGAAGTATTAATACCACTTTACAATGCCTTGGTAAGGCCACACTTGGAATACTGCATCCAGTTTTGGTCACCACGATGTAAAAAAGATGCTGAGACTCTAGAAAGAGTACAGAGAAGAGCAACAAAGATGATTAGGGGACTGGAGGCCAAAACATATAAAGAAAGGCTGCTGGAATTGGGTATGTCTAGTTTAATGAAGAGAAGGAAGAGGGGGGACATGATAGCAGTCTTCCAATATCTCAGGGGCTGCCCCAAAGAAGAGGGAGTCAAGCTATTCTCCAAAGCCCCTGAAGGCAGGACAAGAAGCAACGGANTAATCAAAGAGAGAAGCAACCTAGAACTAAGGAGAAACTTCCTGACAGTTAGAACAATTAACCAGTGGAACAACCTGCCTCCAGAAGCTGTGAATGCTCCAACACTGGAAGTTTTTAAGAAGAGACTGGACAGCCATTTGTCCGAAATGGTATAGGGTTTCCTGCCTGAGCAGGGGGTTGGACTACATGACCTCCAAGGTCCCTTCCAACTTTTTTATTATTATTATTATTATTATTATTATTATTATTATTATTATTATTATTATTATTATTATTATTATTATTATTATTATTATTATTATTACTACTACTACTACTACTACTATTATTATTATTTTATTATATTATCATTATTATTATTATCATCATCATCATCATCATCATCATCATTATTAAACGTCCCTCTACTAGAATGTGTGCATAGAATTCACATTCTGCTAGAGAGAAGTTCCCTGGGGATGGGCTCCAGTATGAGTCCAAAAACTCGGAAGAAGAAGAACTGAACAGGCTATGGTGCCCAGATAAAAACTCCTTTTTATGATCCTGTAACCCCTTAATTTGAGGTAGGCTTGGAGATAAATTCATGCCATTCCCCACGGTCAATGTCTTGCTAAGATCATCTGTTCCAGCTGGTTAGAAGTGGGTGTGTGCCATTGGTCCTCCCCCCCCTTCCAGCACGACGGAGAAATGGGAAGAAGAGAGGGAAGCAACAGTCTCCGGGAGGAGCCCACCAACTTCTCCAAGGTGCCAATATTATTTGGCTTGATATGAAACGCAGTTCTGCTTCGTAACAATGGACCCCATAGGACAAAATGCCTGAACGTGTCATGGTTTTGGAATACGATTAAGCCTCACACAAATAATTCCCCCCCCTACAAAATAATAATAATAATAAATGCTGAGTGCCCTGATCAAAATTGCTCTCTGGGGAAGGCCCACTGAACAATGGATAGAACTTGCCCAATTCCCAGCCTACCAAATTCATTCAGTACATTTTGTCCTCCAGCTTATGAATTCATCGCAGCTCTGCTCTTTTTTTTTTTTTTTTTGCACGGTTACTGCTGAAGTGTTCACAAAGAGGAAAACTTTAGAAAACGCAATGTTCACCCCTGGGCAACTTCTGTCCTCAAGATGGTTTACTCTCCTTCCCCCCCTTTTTTTTTAGTTTAAGGCCGGGGTCCTCAACCTTGGCCACTTTAAGACTCGTGGACTTCAACTCCCAGAATTCCTCAGCCAGCATAAACCACTCTAGCAATCATGTAAAGCAGGGGTCTTCAAACTTGGCCCTTTTATGACTCGTGGACTTCAACTCCCAGAATTCCTCAGCCAGCATAAACCACTCTAGCAATCATGTAAAGCAGGGGTCTTCAAACTTGGCCCTTTTATGACTTGTGGACTTCAACTCCCAGAATTCCCCAGGCAGCATAAACCACTCTAGCAATCATGTAAAGCAGAGGTCTTCAAACTTGGCCCTTTTATGACTTGTGGACTTCAACTCCCAGAATTCCTCAGCCAGCGTGCCTCACGCTGGCTGAGGAATTCTGGGAGTTGAAGTCCACAAGTCATAAAAGGGCCAAGTTTGAAGACCCCTGCCATATAGAAGATCAGCATTATGCTGGCTGGGGAATTCTGGGAGTTGAAGTCCACGAGCCTTAAAGTAGCCAAGGTTGAGGACCCCTGGTTGAAGGAATCGCTTCACCTGAGGGCTTTTTGAAACGGCACCTTTTTTGTTTTGGACCCATCTGAAGCTCTCTTGTAAATCACCATTGAACAGTAGTAACCCGGGGGGAGGGGGGGGAAGAAAGAAGGAAAAGAAAAAAAAGAAAGAAAGAAAGAAAAAGAACTGAAAACACGTCTGGTTTCGATTTGGAGGCCAAGGCTTTGCCAAAGGCTGTCATTGATTCAAAGACCACCCTTTGGTAACGCAACCCTTCCCTGGCCAGATTACCTTAAAGCACTTTGTGGTTCTTGCAGACACACCACGTTATGCGTTGGCAACTGGAATCCTCTGTTTGTTCCCGCCTGCCAGCCAGACCCTGAGAAGGCAAGGCCAGCCCTCCCCAGTACTCGGTCATGCTGCGTGTGTGATGGCTAACTCTGATCTAGCGTTGTCTTTTCCTTTTTCTTGTGAACTGTTTTTTTTTTTTAAAGGAAGGGTTGCTTTTTTATTCAATGCAAACGACCGTAATCTAGTCTAATCTTTTCAATGACTTGGAATACTGCATCCAGTTTTGGTCACCACAATGTAAAAAAGATGCTGAGACTCTAGAAAGAGTACAGAGAAGAGCAACAAAGATGATCAGGGGACTGGAGGCTAAAACATACAAGGAACGGTTGCTGGAATTGGGTATGTCTAGTTTAACGAAGAGAAGGACGAGGGGGGACATGATAGCAGAGTTCCAGTATCTCAGGGGCTGCCACAAAGAAGAGGGAGTCAAGCTATTCTCCAAAGCGCCTGAAGGCAGGACAAGAAGCAACGGATGGAAACTCATCAAGGAGAGAAGCAACCTAGAACTAAGGAGAAACTTCCTTAGTTTAATTGTTAGAACAATTAATCAGTGAAACAACCTGCTTCCAGAAGCGGTGAATGCTCCAACACTGGAAGTTTTTAAGAAAAGATTGGACAGCCATTTGTCTGAAATGGTGTAGGGTTTCCTGCCTGAGCAGGGGATTAGACTAGAAGACCTCCAAGGTCCCATCCAACTTTATTCCTGAGCCAGCTAAGCTGGCTCAGGAATTCTGGGAATTGAAGTCCACAAGTCATAAAAGAGCCAAGGTTGACTACCCCTGGTCTACAGTAAGTTCTCTTTGGCAATTGAAGCAGTTTGTACAATCCTGTATTTGTTTACTCCTAATGGACAGAATCTTGCCAAACTCAAGCTATAACCTTCTAACCTTACTATATATATATCCTGAGAGTTACATCTCTCTTAAGAGATAACTCTGAAATATAAATACATTAGATATAATTTGTCTTAAGAAACCCTGTATCAATTTCCAGTCTCGGGAGTGCTGGAGACTGTCAGTCTTTGAGGAAGCCAGGGGACGTAAAATCCTGTTCACGGAATTTATGCCGCTCGGTCCTATAGAGACTGTTTAATGAGTTGCTTTTTTGTTTTTGTAATAATTATTTGTGTTAGAAATTTTGAAATATAAACAAAAGTGGTAATAAATCAATGAATTCAATGGTCAAGCAGCAACCCAACTTTTGATCCAGAGTGTTTAAGTATGAAGCACAGATCATCGCAACTGCCAAAAACTAAAACACCGAAATATTTTAGAAAAGCCCTGCCAAAGGTCACTTGGGATGTCTTGAAGACACTCTGCAACAATATATAAATACACTGGGGAAAAATAGCCAAGAAGAGAGGCTGAAATGCACATTTGTAGTATTTTCAGTATTCCAAACCCAAGCTTGGGGTTATATAAACAAAAGTTTCTTATTTATTATAGATATATTAATTGACTTATTTCTTCTTTGCAACTAACCAAGATTTCCCTTGTGCCAAGGAAAACAACATGATTGCTCCGTGACCCATTTTTTTTTCCTGGTCTTATCAAACAAAATCGCAGTCACACCACATGTTAAGAGAGATTCTACTTGACTAACATCTGCAAACACTAGATGCAATAACTTTTCCCGTGGGCTTTGGAAAATATTTCATAGAGTCTTGGTGTTTAAGTGAAAAGGGGGGGGGGAGAGAGGAGGCAAAATAATTGGAGTCTACAGCTCTCTACTTTTCTGGAACAAATCTGAAAAAGGATAGTCAACATGTCACTAACGTATCATTTCCTTCAATTAATGAGAATCAGCCCAGCAAATGTCCTTAAACAGCTCCGCCCTTTCTTCTTTGCTGGCTATATTGCCAAGAGACAGCAAATGCTGGTACCCACCATCCATCTGGTCTCTTTTACAAGTAGAAAAATAACAAAGCCAATGACCACACAATCATAGATTCGGAGAAGGCTACTGTGGTCACAGAGCACATTCCTGCGGTCAGTGCAGGAACGTTAAGTAAAACATCTCTCTCAGATAGCTCCCCAGACTGTGCTCGTCTCCATCCAGTAGAGGAGAAACCGGCATTTCTTTTGTAACTGCACCAAGCTATTCTTACTATTAGGAGACATTGATGTCTGCATCCCGAATCCTAGGGTGACACGAGGTCTGAATGTTCTTCTACGGGACAGCTATCACACTATCCTCATTCTTCTCTTCTCCAGAGAGGCTGGGCGTTCCCAGTTTCTGCAATGTTCTCATACGACAGGGGTCTTCAAACCTGGCCCTTTTATGACTTGTGGACTTCAACTCCCAGAATTCCTCAGCCAGCGTTCCTGGCTGAGGAATTCTGGGAGTTGAAGTCCACAAGTCATCAAAGGGCCAAGTTTGAAGACCCCTGTCGTATGAATTAGTTTCTGGTTCTATGAGAAACATTTTGCCCGTGTTTTCCAGAACCCCTTTTCAACGTGGGGCCAACACTGAGAGTTTTTGAGATGAAAGTCCAATCAATGCAGAAGTTGACCAACTCTGTTCTAGCCATGCAAACAGCATTTTCAAAATTACACCAAGTCTAGATGATGACTAGCACTGATGTCTGTGGAGATTCTCCGTCATCCAGGTCATGGTTGTCCCAAAGGTGCTTTTTCAAGAGGCAAATGGACTTTCTTGATTTTCTTTGAAGATGTTTCACTTCTTGGAAGAGAAGAAAGAAAAACAAGAAAGTCCAGTTGCCTCTTGAAAAAGCACCGTTGGGATTAGCAATGATGATGGTACCTAGTTTGGGTAATGAAACGTCTGCAAGAAATCAATTAAGTTCAGAGACCACCAAGGGCCCCTCAAGTGTTCTCCTGGATTCGCGGCTGACACTGGATGACCAGTTGGCGGCCGTGACCAGGGGAGCGTTTTATCAGGTTCGCCTGATTCACCAGTTGCGGCCGTTTCTGGACCGGGACGCCTTACGCACGGTCACCCATGCCCTTGTCACTTCCCGCCTGGACTACTGTAATGCTCTCTACATGGGGCTCCCCTTGAGGAGCANCAGGGTGCCGTCAGCCAGACAGTGCCGGCTGGCGACCCCAAGGGGGAGGGCCTTCTCTGTGGGAGCACCCACCCTCTGGAACGAACTGCCCCCAGAGATCAGGGTGATCCCTGATCTCCCTTCCTTCCGCCGCGCCCTCAAGACGTGGTTGTTCCAGCTCGCGGGACTGGCCTAAGGGATTTTAAAGGGGTTTTAATTAGTTTTAAATTTGACGTATTTAAATATTTCTTTTTAACCAATTTTTAATTAGATGTATATGTTAGTATTTTAATCATTGTCAGCCGCCCTGAGTCCGCAAGGAGAAGGGCGGGATATAAATGCAATTATAAATAAATAAATAAATAAATAAGTGTAGATGAGGCTGGTACTATTTCTGTGAATAATTGTGACTGGTAATCACAGGTCAAGACTCAATATACTGTATAAGAAATTGGGACTCAACCCTGAAGTAAGGTTCTTATCTCACCATTCAAAAACTGGATCCTTCTAAAAAAAAATGTTTTCTTTCCTGTATTGCATTAAGTGGAAACAGGAAGATACAGATTTTGAATATAATCATAGTCATGGATGTTACTGGCTGCTTATAATCACGGGCAGCAACAGTGAAGATTGTTAGACAAGCTATTGCAAGAGAATTTAGTTCCTTTCCCAAGTTATCCTAAAGAAGAAATGATCAAGATAAAAATGGCATCAATGTATTTCAAAGAAGAGAATACACGCCAGGATAACTTAAGATGACAAACTTTTTGAAAACACGCCGGTTTTAAATTGCTCTGATCAAATGTCAGAACCAGAATTTCTGCCATTAGAATGATCGTGTAATGCAGGTTGAGGAATGGGGGGGGGGAAGCGATGTAAGTAGGGTACATTGAAATCTAGTTATATGCTGGGTGATTTTCATGGATATAAAACGAACCACCACTTGGGTTGCTTAGATTGTAATAAAAGGTGGCTTTATCTCTCTATGCTTCTCACATCTGCAGCCACTGATGGCTTCCCCATGGTGTGTAGAAAAATCCTGGGTTGCAGGTTGCTGATGAATCTCTAGGTAAGAATTGCTAAAGGCTGTATAAAAGATCGATACAAATTTACTTGTAACTGTCATCTTTCCCTTGCCATGACTGGGCAGCCATTTGAATCAGATCTCTGAACCCAAAGCTCGTTTCGCTTCTCTCTTGCGTTCTTCTTAACCACGGTTGAACAAGCACATCCACAACTTGCTTCTGCTGAAAGCCAGAAACCCATATGTAACTGACAGCTATCCTACAAAGATGTCATCTCTTAAGTCCACTGATCTGGTTCCCTGGAGCCAAATGACAGCTGATTGCAGTGCCCAGGACATTTTTTTCAGACCCTTTTCACATTGATTATTTAAAGTCCTTGGCCCAGACAGAAATGCTAAATTGCTTCTGGCATCGCCAAATTGGCATGCTACTTACCATCTTGTGTGTTCTGGCTAAGGATCTGAGTGCGTAGCTCTGTGGGGTTAATTCCCAGGTTTCCCCCAATTTCCTCTATGCTGTAAGGCTCAGGGTGAAAGGCCTCTTCAACCACAGCCAGCATTTCCTCCAAGCTTAGCTTCAGCTTGACTTGCACGTCTTGGAGTTTTGCCACCGCTCTCCAGTCTAGGCCTCTGGATTTTGCTAGCAGCTGAAACAAGCAAAGCATAAGTAGGTCTTTGGTTGCAAAATTGGGAACAGAAAGAAGTTAATCCAAACATTTCTTAAAGAGACCTTAGAAACGTTTCTTTTCTTGAAAAGAAAATACTTAGAACAGGGGTCTTCAAACTGGGCAACTTTAAGACTTGTGGACTTCAACTCCCAGAAGGAATTCTGGGAGTCGATGTCCACAAGTCTTAAAGTTGCCCAGTTTGAAGATCCCTGAATTAGAAGAACATGAAGTGATCAAGCATTGACTGTCACGTGACTTTGGCAGCCAAAGATTTTTGCTCGGCAAAATAGAATGCCAAAGATGGAGAGGGGGAAAGCTCTCGGCTCCTTTAAATTTGGAGATTTTTGAAAAATTGTATAGATAACATAAAAAAATAAAACATAAGCAAGGTTCAATTTGACCATAAGAAAAGCTGAGCACCAAAGAATGGAGGGCTTTGAACTATGGTGCTGGAGAAGACTCCTGCGAGTCCCCTGGAATCCAAGGCAATCAAACCGGTCACTCCTAGAAGAGATCAACCCCGACTGCTCTTTAGAAGGCCAGATCCTGAAGCTGAAACTCAAGTACTTTGGCCACCTAATGAGAAGGGAGGACTCACTGGAGATGAGCCTAATGCTGGGAAAGATGGAGGGCAATAGAAGAAGGGGACGACAGAGAATGAGGTGGCTGGATGGAGTCACTGAAGCAGTAGGCGTGAGCTTCAATGGACTCCAGAAGATGGTAGAGGACAGGAAGGCCTGGAGGAACGTTGTCCATGGGGTCGCGATGGGTCGGACACGACTTCGCAACTAACAACAACAAAAGGTTCAATATATATATAACCCAACGGTCATATTAAAAAATGGCATCTCAAACGCCTCATGGAAGTTACAAACAAGGTATAAAGCTAACCTCGCATTTTCCTCTTATTTATCCTTTAGCATTCAGAGATAGACAAGTCGTTTTCTGCGGCTGTCTAGACCAGGGGTCTTCATACTTGGCCCTTTTATGACTTGTGGACTTCAACTCCTAGAATTCCTCAGCCAGCATGCCTGGCTGAGGAATTCTGGGAACTGAAGTCCACAAGTCCTAAAAGGGCCAAGTTTGAAGACCCCTGGTCTAGATGAATGTTAATAGACTCTCCTTCAGTTACTTCTCCCATCGTTGGAATGATCATCTAATCTACTGAGGGTCTTGAATGTTCTGGAACACAGTGCTGATCCTTAAATGTGATCTAATCTTAGTTCAGTTCTTCTCGTGCAGCCCTCCCGGAGTGATGGATTTTAAGCGCAACAAAAATACACGGAGTGGATTCATTTGGGGCATAATCTAGCAGAAAGCAAAGGCCTTTCAGGACCGCCGTTGAAAGGAATAGGAACTTTATCAAACCTGGTCCAGACAGAGTAATTTCTTCCTCACATTAGCAAGCCGGAGGAAAGCATCATTAGGGATTTTCCTATCTCACACATGAGAAAATAGCAGGCGACTCTTTTGGAGACCGGTGAAAAAGGTTGGACATTTTCTTGGCCCTATTAGCAGGCCAGGCCGAGTGGAGATCCCTGATACTTAAGGCTGCCTGCCAACAAATCTTCAAAGGAAGATTCCAGCAGCTGCCGGATTCATGTATCCCGAGAATGGTGGGCTATTTGTGGAACGATTATTTCTGCCCTGGTTAATTTTGATCTACCTTGGACAACTGTGCCTGCTCTTTCCTCAGAGGTTTCTACTTGGCGTGGAAGAAATCGGCCAATCAGACTGCAAAGGCTTTTGCAGAGTCACCGGCAACTCAGATCACCCCAAAATCTAAGAGGATAGGTGGTCCTCGACTTACAAGGAGTTCGTTTAGTGACCGAAGTTACAATAGCACTGGAAAAAAAGGGACTTGTGACCGTTTTTCACTCTTATGATCTTTGCAGCATCCCCCTGGTCAAAACGTGGACGCTTGGCAACTGGCTCCTATTTACGGTGGTTGCCATGTCACGTGGTCACGTGATCCCCTTTGCCGGCCTTCCGGCAAGCAAAGTCAATGGGGGAGCCGGATTCACTGAACAACCGTGTTACTAACCGAACCGCTGCAGTGATTCCCTTAACCCAGGAGTAGGCAACCTTGGCTCTTTTATGACTCGTGGACTTCAACTCCCAGAATTCCTGAGCCAGCCACGCTGAAGGGAAAGGGAGAGGTTTCCATGCTGAGCTATGCTGGCTCAGGAATTCTGGGAGTTGAAGTCCACGAGTCATGAAGGGCCCATAGTTCCCCCATGCTGGCTCAGGAATTCTGGGAATTGAAGTCCACAAGTCATGAAGGGGCCAAAGTTTCCCCCATGCTGGCTCAGGAATTCTGGGAGTTGAAGTCCACCAGTCATAAGAGCCAAGGTTGCCTACCCCCGCCTTAAAATGGGGCAAATCTCACTCCACGACTGTCTCGCTTAGCAACAGAAATCTGAGGCTCAATTGTGGCCATAAGTCAAGGACTAGTTGCATGTGCGTTTTCCCAAACTTGAGCCGAGGCGGTTTCCGTAACGAAAAATGTGTCACCATCAGGGAAGCAGCTCTGAGCCCTTAAAAAACTAACCGAAGCCCCCCAGCCTGCTTAAGTTGGACCTTCTGGTCTGGGTTTCAGGCAGGGCGCCTGGGTGGGTTAAACTGCAGCGATTCAGTGGCCGTGAAAGATCGCGCCTGGTCAAAGGCATTTAGTGGCATAGCGAGACATGCGCTGCGTCTCGGAGAGCCCTGAATCACATTAAGTCCTGGCGATGGTCCAGCTTCTGCTCTGTCAGAGCGGTGGTTGTGGTTACTTTCCCTGAAGACAAGGGTGCAAAAATACACTTAGTGATGGAACCTTTCATTGTAAATATCCCCAAACGCCATTGTTTGTTTCCTTCAGGGTTTTTTTTTTAATTCAGGGGGTTTTCTATAAGGAGAAACATATTTTGAACCACAGCTGTGCCTAAATGGAGAAGTTTGTTTGCCTCCTCCTCCTCCTCCTCCTCCTCCTCCTCGACACCTAGGCTGTCAAAATCTGCTGTGAAAACATTTACCAAACATTATTATTTTTTCTTCTTCTTCTTCTTCTTCTTCTTCTTCTTCTTCTTCTTCTTCTTCTTCTTCTTCTTCTTCTTCTTCTTCTTCTTCTTCTTCTTCTTCTTCTTCTTCTTCTTCTTCTTCTTCTTCTTCTTCTTCTTCCTCCTCCTCCTCCTCCTCCTCCTCCATCATCATCATCATCATCATCATCATCATCATAAAGTTGGAAGGGACCTTGGAGGTCATCTAGTCAAACCCTATACCATTTCAGGCAAATGGCTGTCCAGTCTCTTCTTTAAATGTTTCAGTGTTGGAGCATTCACCACTTCTGGAGGCAAGTTGTTACACTGGTTAATTGTTCTCACTGTCAGGAAGTTTCTCCTTAGTTCTAGGTTGCTTCTCTCCTTGCTTACTTTCCATCTATTTTGCTTCTTGTCCTGCCTTCAGGCGCTTTGGAGAATAGCTTGACTCCCTCTTCTTTGGGGCAACCCCTGAGATATTGGAAGGCTGCTATCATGTCCCCCCTCGTCCTTCTCTTCATTAAACTAGACATCCCCAATTCCATCAACCTTTCCTTATATGCTTTAGCCTCCAGTCCCCTAATCATCTTTGTTTCTTCTTCTTCTTCTTCTTCTTCTTCTTCTTCTTCTTCTTCTTCTTCTTCTTCTTCTTCTTCTTCTTCTTCTTCTTCTTCTTCTTCTTCTTCTTCTTCTTCTTCTTCTTCTTCTTCTTCTTCTTCTTCTTCTTCTTCTTCTTCTTCTTCTTCTTCCTGTCCTTTTTTTTCCAAGCAAACCGTGCAATCTGCACTCTCACTCCTAAATTACGATTACGCTAGGAAAATGCCTTCAGCTCCCCTCTGAAGACAGACAACGGGGCTGACACGGTCCAGGTCTCTGAGCTCAGGGTGCCGTGGCCCCTGCAGGATGTCAGTGCAGCTTAATAGGGAAAAGAAAAACGGTGAGAGAAATGCAGAAAAACTACCTGACTGGAACACATTTCCACTGTAACCTTCTTCCCTAAAGCCCTAGAGCGAGTGAAAAGAGAAATGATCTGCCTTTGAATAAAATGTGCTAGTTGGAAAAGTCCCGCCAGACTCTTCCTTGTTTTTTTAAGCTGGAAAAAATAAAAGTTATATTGAGGATGGGGAAACATTAGAAAGGTTAATGTAATTAATACATTAGAGCTACTGCGGTTTTCTAATTGCTTCTTTCCTGTTTTAGTCCGGTTCTGTTTATCTCCACTGGTCCTGTTTTGTTTTCCTTGTTAATTATTACATTATTATTTTTTTTGGTGCCACCTTGTGACCTTCCTGAGGTTGTTCTCCTTTTTTTTCCAATTCAATTAGAAAGCCTCCCCAAAGTCAGTTCAGATGGATGCACTGCCAGGTAAGGGAAGAGTGACTGTCGGCGCCGAAAAATTGAGAACACTATTAGGCATTCAGTTCTGCCATAAAATTGAAACTGTCAATCCTCATATAACTTCTTTAAGGTTTTGGATTTGATTTCTCTAGCCATAGCAATAGCATTTAGACTTATGTACCACTTCACAGTGCTTTACAGCCCTCTCTAAGCGATTTACAGAGTCAGCCTATTGTCCCCAAACAATTTGGGTCCTCATTTCGGACAGCCATTTGTCCGAAATGGTATAGGGTTTCCTGCCTGAGCAGGGGGTTGGACTAGATGACCTTCAAGGTCCCTTCCAACTTTACTATTATTATTATTATTATCATTTTACCGACCTCGGAAGGATGGAAGGCTGAATCAAACTTGGATCGAACTCCTGGCTGTGGGCAAAGTTAGCCTTCGATACTGCATTCTAACTACTGTGCCACCACGCAGTGATTAGAATGCAGTATATTCAACAACTGGCAGAGCCTGAAGGCGGCAGATTGGTCAGTGCCTTGCTCCATGTTGAAAAGAGTCTAGTTTCTTTAAACCTCCTCCTTAAATCACATGAGGGACTCAACAGAGGAAGATTCGTTTGAGCAAGGTTAAAAAAAAAACCAGTGAAGATGTTTTTGAATGCTGATGGAGATAACTAGTGGCAAATTGAAGACTACTAGGTAGAATCCAGGAAGAGCCAGTCTTGGTGTAATGGTTAAGGCGCTGGGCTAGAAACTAGGAGACTGTGAATTCTAGCCATGCCTTGGGCATTGTGACAGCTTGGGGACCTTGGGCTGGTCACTGTCTCTCAGCCCTTGACAGGAGAGAATGAGAAAATAGTTCTGAAATCTTGCCAAAAAAACTGCAGGGATTGATCCAGGCTGCCGTCAGAATTCAGCACCGTCTCCAAAGCACAGACCAAGAAAAAAAAGGTAGACGCCAAGCACGTTGTAGTTATAACAACTGTGGGTCCGAAGTTCCAGTTTCCTCCTCTTCCTCACCCCCAAGTAAAACTGTATTAGGTGGACAACATCGCGCAGGCCTTCTCCTTAGCCTGGCCTGGCAAGTTCAAAGGGGACGGAGCCGTCTTCCGAGCAACGGTATTTTTCCTTTGTTTAATGTTAAGGACTGGTCAAACTTTCTCTTGCACTTCATTTGATAATCATGACTCCAACGCAAGGCATTTCCTGGCAGTTAACGATCAGATGGCGAAAGGATTGGCCGTCTCTTCCAGGCTAGCCTTGCGCTGCCAAGATAATGTTCCTCTTTTCTGGCACTCCTGCCTGGAGATTGCTGTCAGGCTGTAGGCTAGTTTGGGAACCACATTCTTACGCTACACACATTTATGTCGTTTTCATTCCAGTTAACTCTTTTGCCTGCCTCCCCCCCCTCCTCCCCCATCCCAAAGAATTCGGGAAAGTGTAATTTGATGAGATTGCTAAAGCAATGCCAGGAATCCAAGTTGGCCTGGCAACATTTGGGTGAATAGAGAAAGGGCTGGAGGGTTAGTGCTTTGCTTCATACCATGCTGGGTCCTCATCGGATTCCCCTTTTAATTGAAAGAGCTTCTTTCAAAGGCTTTGAACAGAGGAGAAGCCGGTGAGGCTGGTACAATGGGAAGAATGGGCACCATATTGCCTAACCCAAGTTTGGCATGGCTGTACAGCCAGTTTGGTCTAATGGTTACGGCACTGGGCCAGAAAGCAAAAGACCCCAAGTTCTAGTCCCACTTTAGGCCTGAAAGCCGACTGGGTGACTTTAGGCCCATCACCAGGAGACCATGAGTTCTAGTCCTGCCTTAGCCATGAAAACCAGCTAAGTGTCTTTGGGCCATCACTCTCTCTCTCTCTCCGTCGAACTCATAAGGTTGTTGTTGGCAAAATAGGAGGAGGAAAGTGTGTTGGTTTGCTGCCTTATTTGTAAAAATAATAAAGGAGGGATATAAATATAAAAAAAGCACTAATGTAGGAGGATTCCTCAGGTAGCAAAATCTCTGGAGATCCCTCATGATCCCTCTTTTTATAACTTGCTGGCTCACCAGTGGAACATGCACCTATCCTTCCCTACTTCTTAGTAAGCACAATTCACTTATTGGATGGCTTACTATAACCTTTGCATGATAGATGTTGAGACTCTAGAAAGAGTGCAGAGAAGAGCAACAAAGATGATTAGGTGACTGGAGGCTAAAGCATATAAGGAACGGTTGCTGGAATTGGATATGTCTAGTTTAACAAAGAGAAGGACGAGGGGGGACAGGATAGCAGTCTTCCACTATCTCAGGGACTGCCACAAAGAAGAGGGAGTCAAGCTATTCTCCAAAGCACCTGAAGGCAGGACAAGAAGCAACGGATGGAAACTAAGCAAGGAGAGAAGCAACCTGGAACTAAGGAGAAACTTCCTGACAGTGAGAACAATTAACCAGTGGAACAACCTGCCTCCAGAAGCGGTGAATGCACCAACACTGGAAGTTTTTAAGAAGAGACTGGACAGCCATTTGTCCGAAATGGTATAGGGTTTCCTGCCTGAGCAGGGGGTTGGACTAGATGACTTCCAAGGTCCCTTCCAACTTTATCATCATCATTATTATTATTATATTGTGCAGTAGTGGGATTCAGCCGGTTTGCACCAGTTCGGCACAACCTGTATCTAATTTTTTGTTGCCCAGGCCCAGAACGGACTTCCAGAAGCGGCATCCACACAAAGAACTAGTTGTTCACAAGTTTGAATCCCACCACTGATATCGGGTACATAGTCCTGGTTGCCGATGAAACATTTTACCCCACGAGTTCCTTAACACCAATCTCAGAAACTGATTTTTAATGCTGTCCTCTTTTTTTTTTTTTGATTCCTCCTCGCTGTGCAAATGCTTCTTCCTTTTCCATGGCTGAGGGACCATCCCCCTGCTCTCCTTGCGTGAGAACCCTCTCAAGCAAGGGCCTTCCTGCCTTCTCAGGCAGATCTCTTTTGCTAGCCTGCTCTCCAAATGGGCTGGATTCCATCCCGACTTCCATCCATCATGTGTCGATGGCCTGAGTCCAGATCCCGGAGAGATAAACATGCCCTTTGAGGCAGCACCTGACCTGGTGTTAAAATAAAGCAACAACTGGTAGAGTGGAAGGGTGTTCCAGCCAGCACATATTTGGGTGATGGTTTCATTAGAGTTTGATGAAAGCCATACAGTACCTTCGTAGCCAGACGACACTCCATCACCCTAATATTGAAATGCGAAGTGGCGGCCTTGTTCATTTCAACGCAACTGTTTGCAATCACAAAAACGGCTCCTCCTGGAAGCTTCACGTCCGTTGCCTTCAGAGGATTAAATTCTATCAGCTTTGCCTACAGAGAGGAAGAGTAGAGAGTAATTTCAACGGGTAGCCTGGCTGTGTTTAGGATCAATAAATCAAACATATCTGCCTTTGGACATTTTTCCCCCTCCTTCCTCTCAGGGGATCTCAAATGAATAACAGAAGAACTAACATCACAGCAAACTAAGCTACTTATGAAGACTGGTACAACGTTACTCCCTGAGACCTGGGCACATCTCCCCCCCCACTAGAGAAGAGTTCCTCAATTTTGTCATCCAGAATATTATTAAAGTTCCTTTGATTTGATTTTGTTTTACCTTCCACAACTGAAAAAGTTGATAGTCACTGTAATTTAGCAGAATTAATCAGATCAGCAGAATATATATATATATATTAAAGTTGGAAGGTTGCATAGTATGACTTCAGTGGACAATATGTGTTCTGCTTGGACAACCAAATATAACAACAACAATAATAATAGAGTTGGAAGGGACCTTGGAGGTCATCTAGTCCAACCCCCTGCTCAGGCAGGAAACCCTATACCATTTCAGACAAATGGCTGTCCAGTCTCTTCTTAAAAACTTCCAGTGTTGGAGCATTCACAACTTCTGGAGGCAGGTTGTTCCACTGATCTGTCAGGAAATTCCTCCTTAGTTTTAGGTTGCTTCTCTCCTTGATTAGTTTCCACCCGTTGCTTCTTGTCCTGCCTTCAGGCACTTTGGAGAATAGCTTGACTCCCTCTTCTTTGTGGCAGCCCCTGAGATACTGGAAGACTGCTATCATGTCCCCCCTCGTCCGTCTCTTCATTAAACTAGACAGACCCAATTCTAGCAGCCTTTCCTTATATGTTTTAGCCTCCAGTCCCCTAATCATCTTTGTTGCTCTTCTCTGTACTCTTTCTAGAGTCTCAACATCTTTTTTACATTGTGTATATTACATACATACATACATACATACATACATACATACATACATACATACATACATACATGCATATCTGGCCTACAATAAGTCAAAAGGTATTTTTAATCGGGATACATCAGAGAGTCTTGCACAACTTAAACGTGTCCAATTATAAGAAAGAGCAAGATGACACTCTACGTTCTTCCCCTCCTGATAACATTGCACATATTTCAGCTCTTTGCCTGTTTGTTATCGTGTCAACTATCCCAAAGCATCTCTTGAGCACTTTCCTTAACTGTTCGGGCGATACATACAGTTCCTTTTTCTGCCAGAAAGCAGATGGACTGGTCCATGCCGCCTCCTTCGGTGCCAATGTAGCGTTCGCACTTGCTGCACAGGTCAGCCAATTCCACCTATGGGAACACAATGGTCAAGGCAGAGAGAGTTTAGAGGATATCCCTGCACTGATTCAGTGCTGGAATAACTTTGAGATGGTTCGCGTTCCACGCATTCTGTCCTCCATGAGCTAATTATCCACATCACTCCATCTATAACAGTGGTTCTCAACCTGTGGGTCGGGACCCCATTTGGGGTTGATCGGCCATTTCACGGGGGTCGCCAAGCAAGGCTATCCGCCATTTTTTTTGTCCACCATTTTTTCCCCTTTTCCGGTGGATGCCTTACCTCCCTTGGGCTGGGCCAGCTGGTGGTCGGCCTGCTCCGTCTCTGCCGCTTGCCAGCTATGCCTCGGCCGGCGCAGGGGGCGGAACCACGCATGCGCGGCGCTCCCGGGCAGGGAAAGTCCTCGACTTACGACCGGTTGGGTAGTCCTCGACTTACAACCGGTTTATTCCTCGACTTACGACCAGTTTATTCCTCGACTTATGACCGGTTTAGTCCTCGACTTATGACCGGTTGGGGTCGCGGCATTAAAAAGGTTGAGAACCACTGATCTATAAGCTGGTATCAACCTTCATGAAAAGGAGTCTAGGTCTTTCTTTCCCTCTGATGGAGCCATGATTTCTCAGGAACAAACGGTTCTCTGAGCTAAATGTCTGTGGAGATTCTCAGTCATCCAGGTCATGGTTGTCCCAAAGGTGCTTTTTCAGGAGGCCACTGGACTTTCTTGTTTTTCTCTGAAGAGGTTTCGCTTCTCATCCAAGAAGCCTCTTCAGCTCTGGCTGGTGGTCAGAAATCCTTCCATTTCCCCACCCTCCAGTCAGAGCTGAAGAAGCTTCTTCGGATGAGAAGCGAAACCTCTTCAAAGAACAACAAGAAAGTCCAGTGGCCTCCTGAAAAAGCACCTTTGGGGTTCTCTAAGCTGCTGGTTCTTGACATGTCAGTTCTGCCTCTCTTCACTCCTTGAGGGGTTGGTGTTGTGGCTGGCTAGGCTGGAAGTAGGACCCAGCTCGGTGGTCTCGGCCAGCAATCCCCACAATCAGTGGCTTAAACAGGGATACGTGAGACTGAACACAGCAAGGGAGCAATTCTGCTCTATTGAGGCAAAGATAGGATGGCCTCCACCTCTCCAGTCCCAAAAATGTTGGTTTAACTACAAATGGTAGGGCACAAGACTTGCCAAAAAATATAATTTGCTGCACCTGAATTGCTGTCTTGGTGTCAGGCCTTGAAGTTGGTTTAGTAAATACACAACGCTTAGATTTGATGGGGTATGAGGAAGGCTTTACAGCTAAGCATGATGTCCAGAAGGTGGAACGGTGAAATTTTCCACATGTCCACACTAATATTAGTAGGAAGTAGCAATTTAGTGAGATCTGCAGAGTAAACAGTTGCCAGTTCCTTAGTCTTCCCATGGCATTTTCTCCTGGGTTTTACACAATGAAATCAGTGGAGAATTAGTCTCCAGTAACCTTACACACTGAAACCACCTTGGGTCTTTTCTTCTCTGTCTCAGATTTGCTTTCTAAACCTATCTATATATTTCAGGCACTCCATCTAACATCGTAGCTTGTTGATTGCACTAAGTGTGGACCATCTATTGCCTGTCATTGGCTCAGTGTTCCGAGGCCACAGCTTGTAATGTCTAAGATCAGGATGCTGGTTTCTTTGAGATCACAAAAAATGCTTTGTCTTCAGCATTCCAAAGAGTACAGGTAATAATAATAATAATAATAATAATAATAATAATAATAATAATAATAACAACAACAACAATAACAACAACAATAATAATAATAATAATAATTATTATTATTATTATTATTATTATTATTATTATTATTATTATTATTATTATTATTATTATTATTATTATTATTTTCATTATGGTGACAGACCAGCATTACAAATAAGAGGCAACAAATAATAATAAGGACTCAGTAGGTAGACAAAAATGCCAAATCCAGGCTGACTGTGCCACAAACCAAAATAAAAAAGACAAGATAATGTACATCCCAATTAGCAGTGGATTGTCAGTGGAGAGGCTGTCTAATTTTGTGTCACAAAATTTAAGTAATATTTGGCAGAGATGACGAACACTAGCTGTTTCTTCGAAAGACCCTTAAACAGCACTTGCTAATACTGTTCAAATAAGAGATCCTTCCCAGGAATCTTTCCTTTGTGGCAGGTTACCTCAGAGATCACTCTCATGCAAAAAGACAGTAGGAACACTTGAAAATTACACACAGAGAAATCCAAGACTGGTTTACAAACTGAGCTACGGGGGAGTATTTAGGTTTTCCTGTCTTTTGAGCCCAGACCTCCATGTCAGCCTTGGCCAATCAGTTGATGTCTTGAACCTCAGCCCTGATCATTCTCCAACTAGTTGGACTATTTATTTCCCATTCTATCTGAAGGGTTATGGTGGCTGAAGTTCCAAAGTCTGAAGGACAGCCGAAAGCCTATCCCTAAATGTACAATGCCCAGGATACCAGGATTGCACACATCTTTTCCCTTAATAAATAAATAAATATATATATATTAAAAATAACATTAAAAATAGAAGATCGATTCCTGGGTATGAACATATTTTTAAAAGACAACAAAGTGATCACCAGGAAGTATAAAACAATACAGTTTTAATAAATAAAACCAAGCTTTCGATGGCCTAAAACTGCCATCATCGTCAGGGTATAATCAAGATCCTGGGAGAGCTTGCTTATAAATACAGTCATGTCTGTGCACGACTCCTAGATCTCGTGACAGGTCCCGGCCGGCCAATCCTGGCCTCATCTGCAAACTGAGTTAATTCTTCCTTACCTCCTTTACCTACATGTGCGTTGCCGCACATGTTCCAGCCTGGGAAAACAAAGGACGCCCACCTGAGATACGGACACAAAAAAGGGGGGAGGAGGGCGGCAACGCACATGTAGGTAAAGGAGGTAAGGAAGAATTAACTCAGTTTGCAGATGAGGCCAGGATTGGCCGGCCGGGACCTGTCACGAGATCTAGGAGCCNGATTTAAGCTAGAGCACAACCAAAGAGACATTATCCAGTACACGTTGTAAGATAAAGCCAACAAATCCTTAGCTTGGAATGTGCAGGCCTGCCCACTTTTGTTTCCATAAAGGCACTGAAAACAGACTAAGCTGTAAAAAAAACGAGAGCTCGGAGCTGCCTAATCAGAGCGAAGGGCTCGCAAATAGGGTGAAAACCAATAGAGCGGTTTCACAACTCTCCCTCAGCTATGTCAATTCCCTCATAAACTCTTAGCGGAGAAGATAGAACTGTCAAAAGGGGATTAACAAATTTGAAATGCGCAGGATGTGTAGAAATCCTTCAGAAAACTTGTAAGTAGAACTGGAAGCCCCGGACCGATTGTCCAGATCCGACAGATGTTTTTAATGTAGAAGGCAAAAACTGGCTATACCTTTGGAGGTAAACTCAAAAAAAGGCTAATAATGAACTGCGGAATTCTAATCGCTGCTTGGTAAACGAAAAGAACTTGGTGTATTTACCTCAGCATGTTCCACAGTACGATTTCTACCCCAGGACCCTCTCTAAATCTATTTAAGGGAAATAGTAAAAGATAAATATTTATCTAATCAATGTAATGCTTAATGGAAAAGGTTTCCCCTTGTTTGTCTACTGTTGCACTGACTCACTGTGATTTGTTTTCCAGTAAACATGTATGTGTTTCTGCTGTGGTACATTGAGGCTGATTTATACAATTTAGTTCCCTCTCTCCAGGGAACTGGTCCCTCGTGCCCAAAAGGTTGGGGGCCTCTGGTATAGGGTCTTCTGCTTGAGCAGGGGGTTGGACTAGAAGACCTCCGAGGTCTCTTCCAGCTCTGTTATTCTGTATTCTATTCTGTATTCTATTACAGCCTCCCTCGCCCTTCTCTAAGGCAGGCTCTCTGCAGAAGAGTTGGACCCTTCATTTTCAAAAGGTCTTTTTTTTGCAAATATAATCCGGATGTTTGTATCAGTTGGCAGCTATTAATCCCAGATTGACAGCCCATAAATTAAGAATGTTTATCATTGGTGGTTATACAAGAGACTGTGTTTAGGCTTTTTATGTTTATGCAATGAAATAACGTTTAATCAGAAAATATCTAATTAGAAGAGCAGAAAAACAACATTATCAAGAGCAGTACCACAGTCTGCAAAAGGGCTCCCGCTCTACCAACACAAAGATTAACAAAAACAGACCCGTTTTTGAGGATAATACTGGTTCGAACAAGCCCCTTTGCTGATTTCAACTCCTTGCTTTTAATTGTAAGTTTTTAGCTTTAAAACAAAACATACTTTCAGTATTTGTGTTCATTGTTTTCCTTGGACAACCTCAGTTGATAAAACCCGGCATTTTACCCAATTCTGGAGGTTAAAACCTAGAAGACTAGTGGGATCTAGTTCTGCTTTGTTCTGACTTGAACACCAAATTCTACTTTGAAAGAAAGGGATGCTATAGTAGACCAAGGACTGAAACATCTTCTCCCAATTAACCATATGCTGGTTGCTGTCACACATACTAAACCAGGGGTGTCCAATCTTGGCAATTTTAAGAGTTTGTGGACTTCAACTGCCATGGCTTCAATTCTGGGAATGGAAGTCCACAAGTTTTAAAGAGGCAACTGGACTTTCTTATTTTTCTTGGAAAAGCAAGCTTCTTGGATGAGAAGCGAAACGTCTTCAAAGAAAAACAAGAAAGTCCAGTTGCCTCTTGAAAAAGCACCTTTGGGACAACCATGACCGGGATGACTGAGAATCTCCATAGACCCAAGTTTTAAACTTCCCAAGGTTGGACACCCCTGTAAGAGACCATAAACCAGCATTAAGTCACAATGTCATTCTCGACTAGAGCTCATAAGCATGTTAGCATAACCAAAGCTCTCAAAAGGCAAACAAAGTCATTTTGGTCTCAGCACTTAGGAAGACTGTTACATGGCAGAAAAATCCCCACCACCATCTAATGGCGGTGCAGGAGCTGCTTTTCACCCAAAACTGAGAATTA